CGCCTTGAGGCATGGAACATATGTACCAAATATGCCAAAGATGTCTACAAAATTATCTCAGTTATTATTAAAAAACTGATTACTTTTGAAAACTTTGCCACCCTGTATCTCAAAAGTTAAGGCGTTTAGGACATACGTCCATAGGAAGTTTTTTTCTTAAAATGGGTCTAAGAATTACCTCCTTGAATATTAGCATGTGTTTAAGGAACACCCTGTATTGTGATCCAATAGCGTATATTAACAAATCCAACAGACCACAACTTTCTGCTGCAATTTCCTAAATTTCCGGAAATTTGGTCACTGCAATATGACACCTCAGTGCAATGAAGAATGTTTGATGGAGAGTGGTAAAAGCACGAGAAGACAGTAACAGGAAGACGATTGTGGACACTAACAATAGAAACGTCGTGATTGGATAGAACTGACTGATCCTGCATGAAAATTCTTATTAACACTGACTAATACAATTTACTGTTGAATGTTCACTATATTTTCCCATCTATTAGTTCGTTGGCTTGATTTTTTTCACTATTTTCTGTTTGTACATTGTCAACCACTATTTCTTACTGTATGTTTGGGTTTAGCCACATCGAATCCAATCAACTCCCACTCCTCTACTGAGGAGGAGGAGGAGTTTTAGTACCGTGCATGTGATATGTGGGATTTTTTATGAAACAACTCGAACTTACTGTATACAATCGGGATCTTTGTCTGCTAATTTTTCCAAAACATTTATTTCTAGTTTTGCTGCTTCTCGATATTTCTCAACATTTTTTATTATTTTCAAGGCCATGTGATGGTTCCTAAAAGAAGAAATAGTAAAATCAATCAGTCATCATGGAAAATTATCTTCAACAAAAAGTTGATTTCATATCTTTGGTGAATTGTGTTATTTGAACATAAATATTTCGAAATAAAATTTTGTGATTATACTCGTACACTCAAGTCATTTGCTCTACAAAATATGAAGAATCTTGAATTTTACTAAAAGGTCAGAATAAATATATACTCACATCTCTAAATCTTTCACCTTGACAACTTTCCCGAAGGTTCCCTCTCCAAGGGTTGAGAGTATTTTATCTGGAACGGAATAAGGAAATCATTAATCACGAAAAGGAAAGTTTTCAATTCACAGATGCTGATAGATTTCATTCCTCCCATGAAAGTTTATCATATTAAGAAATCGAATGAAACAATCGTATCAAATAAAATTCTACGTTTTAAGGTAATTATATAACAACGTATCAACATGCTTTTAAAATAAAAAACTGAACTTTTGAAGATATTTTTGAAAAAATTCTGTTTCAAATATGTTTCGATACCCAATTAATCGGATTAAAAAAAAAATCTGTCACTTTTGTAACTTCAATTAGAAAAAAATGTGAAGAGTTTGTGTCATGAATATAGAATCCATCTATTGCTTCAAAACCTGTAAAAATTTCGTGGTATGCAGCTCAATATGCAACTGATCTAGTGTAGTATTTTCCTGGCATGACATGGTGTTTATGTGAATTCTATCGACACTATTTTGCGGGTTTGGAGGTCGTGTATTTCTGGAATTTTTCCTGACGTTTCGCTGGCGAGAGTGACTACTGCTGATAGTGGACCCCTTTTGTCTTTAGCCGACCTGAAGCTTTGTTGAATCTTTTTGGTGGGTTTGAAAACCGTTTTGATGTTGTGTTTTCCCAAGAGTTTTCCAATTCCGTCTGTGACCCTAGGACTATGAGGTATATGCGCGCGTATTCGAGTCTTCTCACCATTTTGAGCCGTAGAACTCTTCAGTTTCATAGCTTTGTTGACCTCGAGTACACTGTATCCATTCGATCTCAAGGTCACTTGAAGATGTTCCAGTCCACATGATCCTTTCTTCTGACTAGGATGGTGGCTTGACAGTGCGTGCAGGTACCTATCCGTGTGCGTGGGTTTTCGGTACACTTTGTGGGTTAGTCTAGCACCACATCAGGCGATTAGTACATCTAGGAATGCTATCCACTGCTCCTGTTCAGACTCCATGATGATTTTGGTGCTTGGGTGTTGAGTGTTCAAGGGGTCTAGGGAAAGGTTCAGAGCGCCCCTTCCATGTTTCCAGATTAAGAAGCTGTCATCCACGTAACGTAGCCACAAGGTCGGTTTTAATGCAAATTGAAACTTTCCATGAAATAATTGGGTATCACTGGACAAAGTGGACTTCCCATCGCCACGCCATCTATTTGCTCATAGAAGTTTCCCTTCCATTGAAAGTAACTCCCCGTGAGACATGCTCTGAAGAGTCCAACGATATCACTTGGAAACAAGTAGGCTAGCCATGGAACTGAAGAGTTCTACGGCTCATACCGAGGAGTTTGCTCAGATGGTTGCACGCGCGTATCTACCTTATATCCCTAGGATCACAGACAGAATTGAAAAACTTTTAGGGAAACACAACACCAAAACGATTTTCAAACCAACCAAGAAGATTCAACGAAGCCTCAGGGCGGCTGAAGACAAAAGGGATCCACTATCAGCAGCAGAGGTTTATTGCATACCATGCACTTGTGGGAAGGTACACGTCGGAACCACCAAAAGATCCATGGAAACAAGACTGAAGGATCATGAAAGAAACTGCAGACTAGGCCAAACAGCTGACGTCGCGTGTTCTTCCAAGTCAGATGTGGCAGAACACGTGAAGGAAACGACAGGATTCTCGGAACTCACTGCCCTCGACCAGGGATACCATAGCCGACTAGTACGGGAGGCAATAGAAATCCTCAAACACACGGATGATTTCAACAGAAGAGAAGAAGCCATTCTAAGAAGTTCAAGAATAGCAACCAGCATGACTGCAGGTAGGAAAGGGTCAAAGAACGTTATTGACAATTTACCAAATCCAGGTACAGGTATTATCACACCAGACTACATGAATCAATATAAACACGCTCTACGTAATTTACCTAAGCCAGATGCAGGTAATAGCACACCAAACGTGAGGAGTCAACATAAAATCGTGTTACGCAGCTGTAATATCCAGTCATCAGAAATATTTACTCAGCATGTATGAACCTCTGAGGAGGCTAGCCATTTGCGTAAGCGAAACGTCAGGAAGAAATTCCAAAAATCCGTCTTCAAACGCGAAAAGTAGTGACACCGAAAAACCTCGACCGAGAAAGCCTTAACCATTTCATTTAATGTAGTTTGAAAAAAATGCCAAAGGATCCTTGAAGCATATGAAATTTTAACATTATTGAGAAGTTTGAAAAACCGGTGAATAGTTTGGAATGTGCCACCTACTTTTGTCTTCAAAGACAGTTGAAAATTTTGCAATACAACTGCGATAGTTTTGTTTGATTCAGTTCAATTTTGATTTAGTTACCTGCTTCTACTGAAAACTGATTCTTTTGTATGGGTACTATAGTTTACACCTACAGAAGTTTCCTCGGTAAAGATGTTTCTGAGTGATTTTCTTGAAGAAACCTGAACATTTTCCACAAGTTCCGAAAATATTTTGGAAAAATGGGAGATTTCACACCTCTAGAATAACGTTTTTTGTATTTTCTGAAGAAATTAATGTTACTATCATTTTTATATACTCCAGCAAGTGGATATATTAGATTTGGATGGCAATTTTCCATTTTTGTGTGACCTTCCTCAATATATAAATGTTACTTCAGGCATCCTAATCGTGTTCATTCAATAATTAAATCCAGTCAATTATTTAATGTGATATTAGAATCTTTTTCAACATGCAAAATTGGTTTGTTTATTTACCTGGAGAACAACAACTTTTCTTTCGAAGAGTCCCACATTTTTTGTATGAAGATGGGCCAGTAGAAAGCCAAAATCTTCCTTTCCCAAAAATTAATCTCACTTAAAAATATAATCCTAAAAAACTCCAGTAATATTCATTACTACAACAAAGGTTCCAAACAGTGTATCACAAATATGGAAATGGTTTCACTTCATATGTATTTCCGAGGTGGAATATTTCTCTAACCCAAATTGAAAGGGATATATTCTTCGGAGAGACAAGTTTTTTGGGAAAGCATTTTGGCTTTAACATCTTTATTTGTACACAAAAAAATCCCACAATTTTTTATAACGATGGAGAAGTGAAAGAAAAAAGGTTTCATACCAACGTTTCTTATACCATTTACTACATCCCCAGGGTCCTGTATAGAAAAGTTTTGAAAATATATCGTGTTAAACATGGGCCAACCAAAATTCATAATATTTTTCCCGACCTGGCCGGGAGTTGGAATTGTAACGAAATCGTCTCACCATTATCATAAATACATTCAACAAAAATTCGAGTTTCTGTCAGATTATAATAAATGTAAACATGTTATAAAACACTACATTGAAAATGGGCAATCAAAATTTGCTATTGGATTGCTTCTCTATGAAATTTGTTTTGAGTGGTCCAGAAAAAAGTTTAAATGACAAATATTATCCATAGAGAAACAATCCCTATCAGTAGAAAAACAATTGCTCAATTTCCATAATCCGTTCGATATTAGCGATGAAATGTTTCAGGTCTTCACTATGGTTTTCACTCCTTAATTGTTGAGTTAGCATGATAGACAAACAATAATGTTATTTTCTCAGTTATCATTATAAAATATTATGCTCTATAGTGTGTTATGGGGAAGCTTCAAAGGGGGAATAAGTAATTATGACATGAGATAACATATATTTCCTCTCTTAGAGTGAAGAGCCACAATCAATTCTAGCGGGTTGCAGTGAAGCGACGAATGATTACACTCACTTTGAATCCTAAAGTTCAAGTTCAGATTCAACTCAGTATGAATTTTTGAAATTACCTGAAAACGCTTCTCTTACGGCAAAAAAAGTACCGACTGTTCTCTTAGATCTCTGGAAAAAGTGTTAGCATTTATTCATTCATTTTACGCCCGAGGTAGAAAGCTTTTCAAATGAAAAATAAAGGAGTTTCGCAACTCGAATTAATATTTTGAAAAATTCCCAGTAAGTGCTTAAAGACCATTTCTGTGCCACAAAAAATCAGGACCAATATTNTGTGACATATGACATTTTGTGCAGATACCTTTACACGAAATTAAAATGAAGGTTTTTTCAAGCACTTCAAAAAGGTAGCCCTAATTTTGTTTTCTTTATTCATTACGTCAAAAAAGGTTCTAGAAAAAAGCATTGTTTTTTGGGCAATTCTAGCTATTCCTCTCTTTGTATTGGGTCTACAGACACCATGAACTTACTTTTTTTTTGTTTTTGGTATGGTACACATTCACACCCGAAGGTAAAGGTAACCCGGTATAGGGTCAACTTTGAAGAAGAGGTGAAGTAGAACGTAAATGCAAATTTTAAACATCGCTACTGTTTCGCAGCAGTTTATATGGAAATAAGGTCCTTGACTGGGCTTACTTTTGGCATTTGAATTTAAGACATGATCCATCGCAATGCGATACGGCCAAATTTTGTTCCCTTAGGAGAGTCGGTGTTCATTAACGAACAAATAGGAACCAATAGGACTTTATGCTTGCCTCTAGTAACTACACTTGCGATTTGTCTAGGATTATCGTGGACATATAATTGATTATTGTTTCATAATAAACGTATTACTCTGATTAACGATTTCCATGACTTCTGTAATTTGAACTTCACAAAAAAATGTGTCCTGCTTTCATAATTGAAATAAATTTTATTTGCTGCTTTTAACATAATGAAAAAAGATGCGGCAATGGTCAAACTTGCTACCATACGCAAACTGTGTTGTGTTTTATTGATATTAAATCTCAATTCCTTGAGATTAAAATCTTGTTAATGTTTGTGGACTTCAATGTCCTACCTATCAAGCGTCTTTTGAAAATACGGAGCACAAAAATTGTGGTGCTTTAATCAAACAGAAAGTTGTGGAATACGCTCTTTTAGAAAACATTCTTGACATTGCTTTCGACCTAACGCAAGCTCTAGTTCAAAACTGGACTTTACAGAAAGGCTGCAGAAATCAACAAACATTAAAATTATTTCAACAGTAAGAAATAAATATCAATGAAATATCGGTACTGGCACTTAAGAACTCACAGATTCGGCTAAAAATTCAAGAAGAATGGCAGGTAGAACTGAAGTTTCTGGCGTAGAAAAAATCCAAAAACAAGCATTGTTCCCAAACACCAGATTTGCAACACTTATGACGAGCGTCTAACCAACAAAGTTGACGCCAAGATATGAAGTAAACTGTCTACCAACTAGTTCCTAATGACGCCAACTTAGTAGGTGAAACGTACGTCTAGAGAAGTATTGCAGTTCTGCAGTTTGGGAACTGTGCTCGTTTCTGAATCCAAAAAGAATCGGAATGAACAGGTACAATTCAGACCCATAAAGCAAGGCTCACACTATGACAGGACGGAAACATGACGAGACATGGCCAGTCCTTTGCCACTTTCACACACTATGGTAGGGCGGAATGCCGCGTCCTGCTCCCCCACCTTCTTCTTTTCCATCCTGCTCGGTTCCTCTTCTTATTTCCCCTTCCGTATTCAATACCTCGATGCTAGTATTTCTAAGATGACTTCCCTGTCGGATTCTGACACCTCATCCGGTGAGGATGATATTGTAATTGCAAATTTTACATCTTAATACAATTAATTGGACAAATCAATCAATACAGGGTATTATCGGATAACACGTATCAATTTTTCCTCGAAATTCTCCACCTCATCCTCTTTTTATAGCGACAATCCAGGCAGCTGAAGGCAAGACTCGTGAATATCTCGTGGTGTCTTCGTGGAGCATTAAAATCCAAGGTAAATCATGCGCCGTGAGGAGGAATGGAGCAGGGGTGGGGCAGGCACAGGAAGCGGAGACGGCACGGCATCTTGCTTTCCTTCCTGCTCGGTTTCTTTCCTTATTTCCTCTCCGGCATTCAATAGTATTGTTTACGATGACTTCCTTGTCGGATTCTGACACCTCATCCTCTTTTCATAGCGACAATCTGGATAGCTGAAGGCAAGACGCGTGAATATCTCGTGGTCTTCGTAGAGCATTAAAATCCAAGGTCAAGCATGCGTCGTGAGGAGGACGACGCATAGTTTTCGCTCANGTTCCTTGAACGTACGGGTGTTGGCTGATTGTTTACTGAACCGGTCGTCTCAAATTTGGCCACCAAACGTTGAAGAGTCGACTGTGAAGGGCCACCACGTCTACCGTAAAATGGGCGCAATGCGCGCAACGTTTGCGTTAACGAACACTCATTTTGATAATAAAGTTTTATCATTTGAACGTGCTGTTCAATCGTGTAACTTGCCATGATGATTTGGCATAAACAACTGAATAATAAACAAAAGATTTGACAGATGTCACCAAAACAAAATGGCCGCCACGGGGCGCCAAAATCTACCCGCGCCAATTGAAATAAGGAGAGAAACCGAGCAGGAAGGAAGGAAAGACGCTGTGTCGTCTCCGCTTCCTGTGCTTGTCCCAGGTCGTCGTCCCACCGATGCTCCATTTTTCCTCACGGCGTATGCTTGACCTTGGATTTTAATGCTCCACGAAGACACTATGAGATATTCATGCGTCTTGCCTGAAGTTATCTGGATTGTGGCTATAAAAAGAGGATGAGGTGTCAGAACCCGACAGGAAAGTCATCGTAAACAATACTAGTATTGGGCTATTGAATGCGGGGGGGAAATAAGAAAGAAACCTAGCAGGAAGGACAGGAATATGTGGCGTCATGCCATGCCGTAGTGTGCGAAGGAGTCAAGTTATGTTCTTGCAGTAGGTACCTTGCTTTAGCAGGACCACACTCAGTCAGTCTGACTACATCGCCTTTCCGTCTGCCGTAGAAGCTGTTGAAAGTTCAGCATCATCAATAATAGACCTGAAAACAGCAAATAATATCTTAAATGACGGCTTCGAAAGCCTACACACCATGATTGATGAGACCATTCATTTACATCACTATTATCGAACAGAATCGCAATTGAGCAAGAACCACATGAGTATAATTATTGTATTCACGAACATTTTTCTTGTATAACGTCTCCCGATCTATACACCAGATGTCCTTCGTCGTCGTCTTCCACCGATGGCGTACGTGGAATCTGCTATAGGTTACGGGTCCCAGGAAAACGCAGAGGGATTATTCCGCAAGAGCAGCATCACATCAGGAATAATCATAACGATCAGCGGGACACGGGAATATCGAACAGCACAGACGCAGATATGGTGGTCCAGAAATATCATTCAGCACGGTACCCGAAAAAGTGGCCCGAAAAGCACAGACGAAAGGGCAAAAGTAAGATCGGTGCAAACACTGTCATTTGAAAAACTTACGATATCAGAGTGTTTCCCATTTCAGTTGGATCTTCTACAGAATAGCATATGCTGATTATTACTGGTGAAGTAACCAGGAATAGAAAAAATTATACATGATTTCCTATATTTGAAATATCTGATATTGAAGTGATTACGAAATATCTGAGGTGTTCCCCAACGAATATAAATGTAACATTTAAACACTGAAGTGACCTATCGGTGTTTTAATTTAATTGAATCTTTTTCTTCTGGAAAACTGATATAATGTATAAAGAAATATCGTTCATTGAAAAACATTCTGGGTGAATGAAATTTCTTGTTCATTAATAAACGGTTTACCATTCAATTTTTATAGTACGATATGTCTTCAATCTCAAAATAGGCCTCAGTTTCGACGATTACTTCTACCTCGGCGGTAAATTTCTTTCCGGCGAGGTCTGAGAACAGGACAAAGTCGCTGGGGACCACATCTGGAACATACTGTGGATGCGGTGGCAATTCGCATGTTTTTGTGTTCTCATGGTGGAACAGCTTCAAACACTGCTCAGTATCATCAATTTCTTTTTGCTTTTGGTAGATTGTAACTTCCTGCGGCACCCACTTTGAACAGAGCTTTCGTATACCCAAATATTCATGCACGAAATATTCAACACGTTCCTTTGATATCTTTGGAGCCTCAGCTATTTCGTTCAACGTCACTTTGCGGTCATCCAAAATTATTTTTTTTACTTTTTTGATGTTTTCGTCGGTAACAACCTCTATATTTTCAGTTGTTGATTACTGAAATACAGATTCCATGAAATTACTAGATCATTAACAACTCACTTTTTCTCCATATTATGATGAACGTGAACCATTCAGTATGTTTATAACGGAGATATTATAATGCAGAGTTGTCAGACAATTTTTTGTAACGAAATGAGGAACTCTTTTCTCAGCATCAAAACCATGTCAACTTCACTGTATATCTCGGAACCTCTTCTATAGAGGACTTACAGATATAGATATCAACAGAAGTGGAAGAGGAACGTAATTGGCCACCTATTTGTGCCAAGTGATCTTGGAATATTGTAAACAAAGTAACAAATTGAAATAAATCGATGTGTTCTTCGCGATGGCCCCATTTTGAACTGATACAATTCGTTCCAAAAGTAGTGACCTATATGTGTTTCTTCTCCCATTACAACCGTACATACGAGTAATTTTTTTCTCACTTCAAAGTCAGTTCAAAATTCTGCGGCTCCGTTTTAGATGGCCCATGCGCAAGGTCCAATTTTGGCACACTTTCTCTAACATATCGACCGGCATTTCACGTATAAATGCTTCAATATTGGCTTCCGGAGCGTCAGTCGTTGCTGATTTATCCCTGTAGACATGAGCCTTAACATGACGCCGTAAGAAATAATCCAAAGGCGTTAAATCACACGATCTAGGCGGCCAATTGACGGGCCCCAAATGTGAGATGAACTGTTCACCGAAGGCGGCCCTTAATTGGGCCATTGTTTCGCGTGCAGTGTGGCATGTGGCACCGTCTTGTTGAAACCACATGTTAGACATGTCCAATTCTTCCATTTTCGACAACAAAAACTCAATCATCACACGGTAGCGCTCGCCATTCACAGTAACGTTCCGGCCATTGTCGTCTTTGAAGAAGTACGGCCCGATGACGCCACCGACCCATAATCCACACCAAACAGTGACATTTTCGGGATGCATTGGTAGCTCTTGCATTGATTGTGGCTGGTCTTCACTCCAGATGTGATAATTTTGCTTGTTAACGTATCCATTCAACCAGAAATGAGCCTCGTCGCTGAACACAATTTTTCGATAAAAATGTGGATCTTCCTCCAACTTTGCCAGCGCCCATTCACCAAATGTTAGACGTTGTTGGAGGTTGTGTGGCTTCAATTCTTGCACCAGCTGTAACTTATAAGGTTTAACACCAAAATCCTTTCGCAAAATTCTCCACGTAGTGGTGTAACAGAGGCCCAATTGCTGCGAACGGCGGCGAATCGACATTTCACGGTCATCACGAACACTGGCGGATACAGCCGCAATATTTTCTTCGGTCCTCACTCTACGTATGCGTGTTGGTGTTTTAATGTCCAATAATGTAAACTGGGTCCGAAATTTAGTCACAAGCTTCCGAATAGCTTCCTCAGTAGGCCAACGAAACTGTCCATAAATTGGAAGAAGTGCACGATGCACTTTGTTCACCAAGCATGAATTCTGATAATGAAATGCAATAATTTGTAAGCGTTGTTTATTCGTAAGTCGATTCATGGTTAAATTATAGACCAAACTAAACAAGTTTGACAATGACACAAAACACGATTCACGCGTGATCTGTCGAAAACAGTGTTGCCAAATAGATACCAGCAAAAAAATCACTCATTATTAATCGTTTCGACTTCCATATATTCTTGAAATTTTACGTCAGGTATCATGTAGCTAGAGATGCATCTTTCAATATTTTCATCGGAAAAATCATTGAAAATGATCGTTTGCAGCTAAAAGACTATCTTCAGTCATCGTAATTCCTATTGGTGTTACTTTGCAAGGGTTTAGGTAAGAATCAGTCCATCTAGTTTTTGCTTCTCAAGGTCTAGTATTGGTCTGCTGCGAGTTTTCATCCTTGTCTCGTCATTACAAAGTTTCTATGCATCATCTACATTTTGTCAAATATAGAAAGCGATTTTGACAAGTTGTACATATCTTTGTGAAGGAGTTATTTTTTTAGTGCGGACCAGATCTGGAGAATACGGTGGATGCGAAAGCAATTCGAAGTCCAATGCGTGCAATTTTGCCATCGATTTCATTGATTTGTGACAGGGTGCAGAAGTTGCTTTACTCAAAATGTTCTATCCCACAAATTAATACTCCGGCGGCTGTGAAATTTGTATATATGTCTTTTGAAAGTTAGGTTGACTAAAAATCATAAGGATTCAAAACCAGCAGCGCCATCTGTGTGTTAGCCTACGAACTGTTCAGTTCAATCTAATATATAAAAAAAGTACTTTATTTTTCAATGAATTTATTTTTTTAAACTTTTTCTGTTGTTTGACTTGAAGCCATTCTAGGTGAATTTTATATGATTATCCAATATTATGCACACATAATGGAAAATAGTTTATGATTTTGATTGAAGGTGCTTACAGTGGAAAATCTGAAAAGTAAAAAAAATGTTCACCTGTAACGTCTATCTTTGTGTACCATGATAACTCATCAACATATCTGCTATACTGTAGAAGAACCAACTTTGGGAAACATCTTAATTTTCGAAAGCCGTAAGTACTTAAGGAAAGGCTTTGTTGTTTAGCAAAAATAATTTACGATCAATATGTGATTGCTGTTCAAACATAATGTAACTTTAGGTTATTTCTGTCCTCTGTGTTATTATTGAGTTTTCGTGAGTTTATTCAAAATTGAAACTAAACTACATTAGGTTTACGTAAAGCTTCATTCCAAGAGATCTTTTCAAGCGCTTTCATATTGTTCAGTACCAGATAAATAAACAAGTTATATTTATGTAATTCCCAGAACACATGGGTTCAACAAAAAATACGTTACCAATTCCATTCTCCATCAAAGTGGAGGAGAGTATTCACAATTTTTCATGTCTATAAATCATGTAAATATCTTCATTATAAGAACATACCAAAATTATCACCTTCATTAATCATTATTCATAACGTTTTTGATAAAATGATAATGATAACTTGGAAGAGTTAGATGAAATGTATGTTAAAGAATCGGCTCGTAGAAGAGAAAACAGGAATATATTCTTTTTTTTGTGGATAGAAAGTTTTTGGCTTTCTACTACTCCATCTTGATACAAACAAATGTGGGAATCTTCCAAAGAAAAGACAAGAAGCAATCAATTTCAAGAGAAGTAGCTCTATACATAGATGTATGGATCATACATAGAAGTAACTTTCAGAAACAAACTAGAACTACTTTCATAACGTAATGTCATTCATTCGCTTATTTGATCAAATTCCAGCCAGAGGAATCTTGTCTGAATTGAAAGGGTTATATTTTTAGGAGTGATATATAATATATTATGTAGCAATCCTGTGAATAATATCTGATTCAATTCCATAACGAATGCTTGGAATACAAACTGAATACGAAAAAGTTTTTTTCTATAATGCATATGTTCATGTGGAAGTAGTTGTTTCAAAGGTACTCTTTTTTCGTGTAATTCAATCTTTATATGGAAGTACCTAATTGTTTCAAAAAACGCTGTTATTCACTAATATACAGAGTACCGAGTAACAACATCAAAGTTAGGGTTTTGCGGCTCCTACCGAGCAACTTCTGAATTGGTAGCAAATCTTCAATAGGAAGACTTAACAGATTGTCTCTGGTCTGGATTCCTGGCCATACTGGCCTGGAAGGCAATGAAGCTGCTGACTCTCTTGCAAAGGAGGGTGCTGCAAGTAGCTTCATCGGACCAGAACCTGTCATTGGCATTGCTTTAGGTTTCGCTAAACAAACATGGAACCCCTGGATGGCAAGAAGTTTTGAAGACTTCTGGCAAAATCTTCCAGGAATCGCTCTCTCCAAGGCGTTTATTCACCCTTGATAGCTGACTACAGTATGGATGAATTACGATATCTAACAGACCTTCTCATAGGTCACTGTCGTCTGAATCATCATATGCAGAGACTCGGACTGTCGGAAGACAGTGTTTGTCGCCTCTGTTTGGAAAATTATGAAACAGCAGAGCATATACTTTGTGCCTGCCCCGCTGCGGACCAAATCAGGTTTTCAGAGTTTGGTAGAA